AGAAGAAGAAGAAGAAGAAGAAGAAGAAGAAGAAGAAGAAGAAGAAGAAGAAGAAGAAGAAGAAGAAGAAGAAGACGACGACGGAGGAAGAAATCAATGGTTGTAGCAATAGTCATAGGAAACCTTGGAGCAATACCCAAAGAGCTGCTAAGATACATGGAAATTTTGAATTTATTAGACCTGAATATCCTGATATGTTCAGAAGTTACCTTAACAGCTCTTAGGTCCTTGGTTAGACTTGAACTGTTAAGTTTTTACCAATCCCAGACTGTGAATCGAATTGAAGATATAACAACAACAACAACATATCTATCATTCAAATAATTTATGGGAAGATAGGGAACGAACTTGATGGTTTAGAATGTAACACAAACTCAATAAAATTGAAATGCAATTCCAGAGATATTTCTCTTGCAGCCACCCAGGTTTTACCTGTTCTTGAAAAAACAAATCTTTTAACTTATTTGAAATTGGCCTGCCTGAAAGGTCCAGCAATATCTTAGGGCCTTACGAAGCATTCTTGGAAAGTAAAAATGATGTGTGGGTTAAAGTGCAGAAACTTACACAAAGGAGCACTTTCCCACTGGGGGAGGGAAAATGAGAAGTCGCCAGAGATGCTAGAAAACACCCTGCAGGGACGCGGGAGGGCTTGGCGAGAACAATCTCAGCGGTTTGCCTTTTGGAAAAGGGTTATTTCCTAACAAGCCGCACCAAACGAGAGCCGCCATTTTATTAACTGAGGTAACAAGAATTGAAGTGAGAAGTCAAACTGACAAACTAAATAGCAGCTCTTAAAGAAGTTAAATACAAAATTGTTGATCTTTTCACAAAAAATAAGCACTTTAACATCGGCTATTTTCAAAGTCTGAAGAACAAACACAATATAACTCTAGTTTTTCCCTATATGCAGAGAAATGGGGGGGAAATGAACTCGTGATTTTTGATAATTAGGCAGGATAAATTGCAGAAAGAAGAGACTCTTAATATAACTTTAGAGAAAGGAACTAAAATATGCTTTCACTTACAGCTGCCGTGAAGAATATTGGAACTCATTTTTGTATCTTTTTTCTCTCTTATTTTTCTTTTACTTCTTTTCTTGCACTTTACAGCTTTCTCTTTAATTTCTTTTCCTCTTTTCTTCAAAATAAATTGAAAGTCATTTCAGTTAGTTTAATTTATCTTCGTATTTAACATATCAAAGGTTAAAAGAATGATTAAGAGGGATATTTCTGTACTCAAAGAATGAACTTTGTAAAAAAATAATGTGTCTTCAGATGCAAAAAGGTGGATCGGTGGATCGATTGATCAATAGATAAAAGAATGAGTTGCTTGGTGGGTTTCTTAGGGTATTGTCTGTAGACATGGGTGATCTAATAGATAGTCTATATTTGGATTTGAAAAAAGCTCTTGGTAAACGCCATCTCCAAAGGTTTCTAAACAAAGTCAATTGTCCTAAAGAGGACTTTTATGGACTGGCAACCGCTTAAAATAAGCAGAGTAGGAATAAATGGAAAATCCTCCCATTGACAAGGTGTGCGAGGCTGTGCCCACCAGGGATCAGGTGTGAAATTAAATCTTTAATCTTTACACAGATGATTGAGGGTTAGGGCTGAGTAATGACATACCCATGTTTGCTGTTCAGGATGGTGACATCAAGAGAAGAGTAGGAAGAGTTCCCGAAGGATCTCTCTCACCTGGGCAGCCTCAGAATGGCAAAAACTATTCCCTGCGAGCAAGCAAATAATGCATGCTGGCCCAGAGAAATTGGCCACTGCTACTGACTTGGCAGTGGTTGAGTGATGAGGAGTGGAATCTTGGAGTCATAGTGAACAATTTGATGAATATGTCAACCCACTGGCAGTGGTTGTAAACGAAGCAAAAACCTCACTGGGTGTGGTTAGGAGGAGGACTGAAAATAAAACCGCTGGTGTTGAAAAGCCTAAAACGTGCCTCAGGTGAGGCTTCACTTGGGGGATTGGATGCAGCTTTTGAACACTGGAAAAGAAAACTATAAAATTGGAAAGGGCGGAAAGGACACCAAAGGGATTGGAGCATCTCCTTTACCAGATAAAAACCGGGCCCTTTTAGCCCAGAACAAAGGAGTCGCAGTGTATAACTTTAAATTGCAGGGATAATATAACAAAATGCATTCTCCTTCCATTGTATTAAATGAGGTGATATTTATTGGAATTAAATGCCTAGGATGAGAGAACAAAATGCTTTTGATAAAGCACGTAATTAAGCTATGAAAGTTCCTGAAGCCGGTTTATTTCATAAATAAATAATATTTCATAAAAGCAGACTGAACTGATGGAAGTTGTCAGTGAGAGCTGATATTGAGGGCTGTCTTCTACTCCTAAATTAATACTTCCAATGCCGGTTGATGGGAAATGAACCATTAGCCGACAGTTCTGGGCTTGGGAGTTTTCCAAATACTTTCCAGTTGGCCGCTGTGAGGCAGAGAATACAGGAAATTCTTGACTTACAACCATTCATTTAGGGATTGTCTGAAGTTACAATGATACTAAAAAAAAAAGTGACCTATGACTGTTTTTTTACATTTATGATCATTGCAGCTTCCCCAGGGTCATGGGATCAAAATTCAGACTTTAGGCAAATGGCATGTATCTATGATGGTTGCAGGGTCCCAGAGTCAGGAAATCACTTTTATTCGACCTTCTGACAAGCAAAGACAACAGAGAAACAGATTCTCTTAATAACTGTGCTATTATCTCAACAAATTCAGCGATTCACTTAACAACTGTGTCAAATAAAGGTTGTAAAATGGGGCAAAATTCACTTAACTGTCTTCCTTAGCAACGGAAATTTTGGGCACAACTGTGATTGTAAGTCAAGGACTACCTGTACCAGATGAGCAGAATATTACAAACTAAGAGAAAGGTGGCTCAATGGCTAAGCTTGTTGATCAGAAAAGTCAGCAGTTCGGCGGTTCGAATCCCTAGTGTCACGTAATGGACTGAGCTCCTGTTACTTCTCCCAGCTTCTGCCATCCTAGCAGTTCAAAAGCATGTAAAAATGCAAGTAGAAAAATAGGAACCACCTTTAGTGGGAAAGTAACAGTGTTCCGTGCGCCTTCGGCATTTAGCCATGTAGGCCACATGACCACGGAGACGTCTTCAGACAGCGCTGGCTCTTCAGCTTTGNACAAGAAAGCATGAAATAAAAAAAATCTTAATGTAAAATAGATGATCTGTTGAGAATCAGAAATGGCAATCTAGCTAAAATCTGAAGAAATGGGCAAGGTTTTGTTTTCAGCACTGGATTTTTTTTTTACACAAATCCTATTCTTTCTAATAACTTAATAATATTTTGAGCACCTGGAAATGTAGTATACTGCACAACAAGGGCGTCAAACTCGATCGCGTCACCTGACGTAGCATAATGTTTTTTGCCTTTACAGAGCCAGAGTGGGCGTGGCCTGCACGTGGCGCATCCTGCCTGTGGGCCACCAGTTTAACACCCCTCCTGTACGGCAATATATATTTAGCCTATTTCTAATTTTCAGAATTATTGGAACATTTAGTTTTCACTTTAGAATATCATGCTTATTTATTAAGCTTTGCTTTTGATATAAATGTTAGCATTTCTAAATCCTGTTTATGCTTGATGTTTAAATTAATGGACAATTAAGCGTCATGATTTTGATTTTCAGCACATCAACAATGGACTTACACTTAGCGATCTTCCTTTACATATGCTGAACAACATCTTACATAGATTTTCAGATGGATGGGATATCATTACTTTAGGACAAGTGACTCCAACATTATATATGCTCAGTGAAGATAGGCAGTTATGGAAAAAGCTGTGCCAATACCATTTTGCTGAAAAACAAGTAAGAGAAAGTTTTATTGTGCATCTACTTTTGTTTAGTCAGCTTCTGAAACCTGATTCTATGTAAAGAATCAGGGGGAAAAATGGAGAAAGAAAAAGGAAACCAACTTGCTTGCAGTTCCAGAAGGAAGTATGAACAACCATTAGCAGTACTCTTTTGCTCTCTTATGTACATAGTAAACATAGTGGATCAGAAAGAAATCTCTGGTTTCAGCAGAATTTACTTCCATTTAAGTATAAATGTAATGGTAAAGAACATGTACTCACGCTGGCTGGAGAATGCTGGGGGTTGAAGTTCATACATCTTAAAATTACCAGGTTTGAAAAACACTGGTCTATACCCATGTTTTGCTTAGCTTTAATAAGAGTCTATTGTGCTTTCCCAGACACAAGACAGGGTCTTGTTTTCTTTTGACCCCCGAAATAAGCACCTGGCCTTATTTTTGGGAAGTCTTATTATTTTGGAGGTGCAGGAAGCAGCGAGCGTGGTCACCTAATGGCGGCTGNCTCATCAGTGCAGAAGCGGAATGAGCCCTGTTAGGCTTATGTAGAAACTTCCTCTTGGCTTCCCTCCTTTGTCCTCCTGTGGTGAAGATGTTGAGGAATTAGGCAGCTTAGAAACTGGTGCATCAGCCGCTGTGTGGATCACGCTTTGTGTAGCTTGTGTAACTTCTTATTCCTGCTTCATCTTCTCTTTTTTAGTACAGGTCCTTCTGCATATCTAACATCTGTTTTCTTCCTTTCTTTTTTGTTTCAAGAGGCATGGCTATTGCACTTTGGGAGAAGCGTTCAATCGCTTGGATTTTTCAAGTGCAATTCAGGACATCCGGAGGTTCAATTACGTAGTTAAAGTAAGATGTTTTGTGTGGCTCTGTGATTGAATTAATTCTTATAATGAACGTGCCGTATGCTGTTGACCTTGAAGTGCTTCAGAACAAGTTCTCACTAGCTATCTGCATGTTGATTAGCATAATATATTCAGATGGCCTGGCTCTAAATCTTGCATTAATTTCACTACCTAACTACTTGCATCCCAACTCAATGGATGATATTATTATCGGAGTAGTTACAAAGAAGCTTCTTTGCTCCCAGAAGTTTCTCTCACCCAGAGAACCCCTTGGCCAACAGCATTAATCAGCACATGGTTTAAAGTTACTGCTTTGCGCTTTAGCTGCGCCCTGGAGTTGGATTCACTCAATATATTTACTTGATTAAACCTGCTTAGGATTATGTTGAAATTCAGTTAAGTATCTTTAAATTAAATATTCAGACGTATTGAGCATCTGACCATGCCTCCTTCCCCGGTGGCTTTTGTTGATTTTCTTAATCCTCCTATTGAAATCAGCGGGAAGTGCTGTGATTGGAATGTGCTTAAAATGGCTCAAGCATAGTAATAATATTTGCATATCCCTCATAGATGTTTGATGAAGTAGAGCAAAAACATTTTCTAGACTTCAAAAATATTTTCAAGAGAATGGCTTTGCAGGAGTTCATTCCCCCCCCCCCCCAATATCTGCTATGCAGGAACTTGAAAACTCCCTTTTAACATGGCATTTTATCTGACAAAACTATCGCTCAGGAAGTGCCTTTGGTTTGAAGTTGAGAGGATTAAAATTGGAGGGGAATTGTGTGTCACTCTTAAAGTAACTCCTGATGTTAAGAGCGACTGTAGGCAGGTGAAGAAGGTCCAAGTTACTCCTGCTGTGACCCTCCAAAGGGAATTTGTACCCATGCAGGGAAGAGCAAGGCACAGATTCAAAGGCCGGCTGCTTTTGAGAACCTCAGAAGAGTTGTTCACTTGCACTCCGCTTGATTAGCCGTATAGCTTCGTGTGACTAATGTGTGCCATTTGACTTTGGGTACTGTTTAAGGGTGGCTGTTTTCTTTTAGCTTCTGCAGTTAATAGCCAAGTCCCAGTTGACATCCTTGAGTGGTGCAGCTCAAAAGAACTACTTCAACATTTTGGATAAAATTGTTCAAAAAGGTAAAGCTTGCATCACATATACTCAGAATCCCAGGTTTGTTCACTCACCCCAAAAAGTTTGCCAACCGGGGTCTGTGAGAATTCGCTATGGGGCCAAGTCCCCACAGCCATTTTGCCCCAGAACAACCCACTGCAGGAGGACAGGAGTTGCACTGATATCAAAGAAATGATGGAGTAGCATCGTTTTTTAAAAGGATGCAAAAGGAGGGACAGAACGTCCCACATTTCAGAAATGAAATGTGAATGGCAAACATTAAAATATTTTTAAATTTATTTNGTAAAAATGCAAGTAGAAAAATAGGAACCACCTTTAGTGGGAAAGTAACAGTGTTCCGTGCGCCTTCGGCATTTAGCCATGTAGGCCACATGACCACGGAGACGTCTTCAGACAGCGCTGGCTCTTCAGCTTTGAAATGGAGATGAGCACCATTGCCCCCTAGAGTCGGGAACTGCTAGCACAGATGTGCGAGGGGAACCTTTACCTTAAAGAGAAAGTTAGAGGACTCTCAGTTCTGATCCAGTCAGGCTGCTGTTATTTTTCTATTGGGGAAATTCATTCTTCACGGTTTTTTCCAGCTGCAAGCTGTTAAAATTCCAGATTTATCCACCAGCCCTCAAAAGTTGAGGATCTTGATATAAAAAGGCTTTTGTGTTATGACAAGAGAGATGGGGCGATTACATTATTGTTCATGTGTAAGTTTGATCCCAGTACTAGGTGGAAATTAACTCTGCAGAACAATAATTCAATAAGGAACACTTTACGTTGGCACATTGCCACAAATCTTCACAAAAAGTAATTCATGAAGCCTCTTGAGATGAAGGATACAAGGCTTCTCTCTATTAAAAAAAAAAAACAACCTGTACAGTTGTGTCAATAATTGATTCTTAAAAGCGTTCCAGATTGAATAAAAAATATATTCTACTCCAGGGTACAAAATGTAGCCTTTCAACCATTATTGTGGCATTGTGGGTGGCAAAAGTCCCATCTTTTTCTCTAAACATTTTGGTAAACGTTTTTGTTTCTCTTTTTAGCTAATGAGCTTAGGGTTTGTTTTTTTTAAGTATTCATGGGTAGAAATGGGACACTTCCTATTCCTGGCAATTAATTTTGAAAAAAAGCAAAGAAAGGAAGGGGTTTGTGTGTGTGTTTAAATGACATCTGGATTATGAAGCCAGGATGCCTTCAACTGAAAACATAGAACATACAATAAGTAAAGTTTTCAAGTCCAACCCCCGGATTCAGCAGGAGACCCCGTACTAATTAACTGGAAACCAGGAATGATTTTCTCTCAATGGAATTGTAGAAACACATACAGAATTAGAGTAGAGTAGAATAGAATAGAGTAGAATAGAATAGAATAGAATAGAATGTTCTTTATTGGCCAAGGGTGATTGGACACACCAGGTATTTGTCTTTGGTGCATATTCTCTCAGTGTACATAAGGAGAATAAAACACATTCATCAGGAATAAAAAGATACAACACGTAGTGATAGTCAAGGTTACTGATAAACTATGCCGTTGGTTTTTATTTTCCTTGCAATATTGTGTTACTTGCTAGAACTGGCGATTGTAGGATAATAGGAGTGTTTTAGAAAACGAAAGAGACGAGGAGGGCAAGAGTTAAAAAGGACTCTTGCACTGCAGACAGCCTCAGCCATTTATCAAAAGAGATCCGTGCAGAGATCTGCATCACAAGATGACTTTTTTTGTCTTCAATGACCTGGTAGCTGCATGCATTTGTTCTGATTGAATAAAAGGGCTTTGAAAATCTAAGCACTGGGGGAAATATATTGCTGTGTGGTAGTTAAGGAAATAGAAAGCAACAATCATTCAGTGTGAGACTTTGTTTGTTTTAATTTTTAAGTGCTTCATTAGAAGAGCGCATTACAAGTAGAAATTCTGGTTTTCCTGTGTAGCATAGTGCTCCGATTTAAAGTAGCTCACTTCGGAGTGTTAGGTGATTAAGGTCCCAGATTGTGCTAAGCCATAAATCATAGTTTACATGCAAATGGATAGGTTTGTTCCACAAACTTAAACATAAGCAAATGACCTAATTATTGATCAGGTTATATGAGCCTAGTATCACAGATGCATTTTAGATCCTGAACTTTTTGAAAGCTCTTAAGCCAAGTGACAGTGCCCTGTCATTCTTCTTCTTCAATGTGGGGCCTTTGGAAGGCAGTGGCTTTAAGCCTGACAATTCCAAGCTAGCTTCGCCAGGAGTTTGGACATTGTAGTCATTAAGCGAGTCATTGAGTGACTGGACTTGATTTTATGAACATTTTACTACAATTGTTAAGCAAATCACAAATCTGAGTTTGGTCTAGTGGTTAAAGCACCAGGTTAGAAAACAGGAGACTGTGAGTTCAGCTCCTGCTTTAGGCATGAAAGCCAACTGACTCTCAGTCCATCCCACCTCACAGGGTGGTTGTTGTGGGGGAAAGGAAGAAAAAGGAGCATTAGATATGTTCACCGCCTTGAACTGTTTCTAAAAATAATAAAGGTGGGATATAATTTAATAAATACATCTGTCTTACAGAAGAGAATCGAATACTTTATTGGCCAAGTGTGATTGGACACCCAAGGAATTTGTCTTTGGTGCATATTATCTCAGTGTACATTTGATTTTGCTTGTTGGAAGGTTGCTTTGCTTGCAACCAGAGGTAAATGCAAATTGTGAACACATGACCACAGGAGCAGGCGATGGATGTAACTTCAAGGACAGGTTGTGAGCCACTTTTTTCAAGGCCATTGTAATTTCTGTCTTTAAACAAATGGTTGTAAGTTGAGGACTACCTGTATTTCCCAAAATCTTTCTAGGAGAGATCAAATCAGCTTTTTTTTCCCAGCCAAGAATTATGCTTGACCTTTGAATGGTATGTTGGAAGCTGCAGTTTCAGAGGGGGGGGGGGTTGGGACTGAACAAAGGGCCCAATTGACTTCAGTACATGCAAAACAATTATTCCTATATATTTCAAGTAAATGTTTGCTGTAGCTGACAGGCTAGGAATAAAGACCAGTGCAATCTCTCCCTCTTGTTTCGTACTGAAAGAAAAACTTTTGGCAAGTATGTTAAGAGGGTAAGTTGTGTCTTGGGTTACAAGCGATGCATTCCTAAGCTCTGGAACTGTTTGTGGGGCCTGAGAGCTGGAGGGATGTTTTGATCTGGCCTCAGTCCTGATTTAAAAATAGACGCAGGAGACTTTGGCCCAGATGTTCCTTTGTCTCAGTGCTGCTTCCTGTACAAAGTCCCATTTGGTGGCCAGCAATTTTCTAGTCCATGACAAGAATAACCGTCTTTTTCCTTTCCTTAGGACACGGGTCACCCTTGCACAGCCAATGACCCCACCGGGTGCTTCACGCCAGTCTCCCCTCAGCACTTCATAGACCTCTTCAAATTTTAACTGCAACCCCGGGGCCGAGGCGTTTTTTGTAAAAGGTTTGCAGCACCAGGCAGTCTGTGAATGGGGGTTCCGTGCGTGTGTGTGCATGTGTGTGTGTGTTCGTTCTCCTGATGTGTTTCGAGTGTAATCAGGGTCAAATGGAAGAGTTGCTGGAACTTCCATTAAAAACCTTCAATTTCTCAGGAGGAGGAAAAGAGAAAGACAATCCACTTAGGAAGGGAAGAGACACCAGAGAGAGAGAGAGAGAGAGGTTTCTGTGAAAGTAGTAATTGGAACCGGGCTCTCTGGCCGACAGCCAGCAACACATTCGTGTTTTTCTTTGAGTTTCGGTGAGACGATTGGAGTTCACTTGTTACTGGAATGAAGAAACTGATGAGTTTCTTTTTACTTGTCCAATTCTAAATATGCCCAGTTGGTACATCCTGTAAATACTCCCATGATACTCTTAGGGTTTCTATGTATATATCATGTTGATTGTGAGGATTAAACAAGGGCAAAATGTCCTGTGTATCAGTTGTGCAGCAAAGCCAGCAATTCCGTATTGTAAATACGTTCAGCACAGTATTTATTTTCTTAAAATACCTTCCATTAATTCCACCCCATCTCCCTGTCTCCTAAATAATGTGAGCTGTTGGTATCCTGGCTGCTGAGCCAAGACACTGTTTTCTAGATGTCATCCAATGAAGTGTGTTGAGTGAGCGATGTGTGTGTTTCCCCAGTCTTCTCATTGATGTCTCCTCGAGTCTTAACCGCTTTGAGCAAAATAGGTGATCATGGCTGGGCTTTGAGAGAATGGGACTTGGTTTGAAGAGCGCTGTTGAAGCTTTGCTGTGAACATCTTGGCTAGCTTCTCTGAAGTGGAAGATAATCTGAATGCCCTCATGGCTACTCTGAGAACGGGGTTGGTAGGAGAAGCGAAAGGCAAATTTTCAAGCACTTCCAGTGTTCAGAAACTCTTAAACCACCATTTCCATGTTCCATGGATTTATGTTATGTACCACCACGTGTATTGAATCTAAGTTTCTACCTGAATAAATAATTTCATCTTCTAACAAGAGTGTGGAGTTCTTTATGTTAACACATTACATGCTCCTGGTATTAGCATATCCTACTTATAAACATGGATTCTAATGCTATACACCTATATTTGTGTTGATGTAAGCTATGGGGAAAGCCTACCACAAGTTTTCATGACCAGGTGTAATTAATGTTTCCAGTATTTTCATAGCCGTTCACATTAATATATTGCTATAGTAGCCCTATAGGATAGCAGATAACACCATATCAAATTTCAAGGAAAAAATGGTTTCTTAAAGATTGAATAAATGTTGCTCTTCTTTCTACTATGAAATAATTTTTGATTCTTTGTGGGATAGGATTGCCAGAAGTACCCAAATGCTCAATCTTCCTCCTCCTCATAATCTCCAATAGCTCATCTAAAATTGGATTGAGGCTGGAGAGATCAGAAATTGAGTTTCTCAAGCACTTCTGCCCTGATTTACATACACACCCATGCCCCCCCCCTCAAAATTACACACAGGATTTAAGTAGAATCAGAAGGGTAAGTTTCTTAGGGTAAACTATCTTTAGGGTAAACTGTAATTTGCTCTTTGCTTAGATTATCCCCATCAGATGTCTTTATAAATGTTGCATGCAGGATTGCAGATGTCTATAATAAGCCTTAAAGATGCAACATTTATAATATAGTTTATATAATTTTGCACAAAATTCACATTTCCTCATGAAAGACGTTTCAAAAAATAGAAAAAAAAAGCCTATATTTGAGGTAAGACCAAATTTTAATGAACTTTCCCAAGAGACAGTAGGAAACAAAATCTTACCAAATCTACC